TTTTTACAGAAATATTTTCTGCCACTGCAGTTATACAAGTTTCCTTCATTCCATACAAAATAAATTACATAATAATTTCCTTGCATACATCATTGTTTATGTCAACTACTCGTGGACTTTAATTCCTACAGAAAATGAAGGAAGGCAGCTCTATTTCTGTTGCAGCTGACCTTATTCACGTATAATTGAGAAGCAAAAAGATATGTATTACTTTTTATTTCCCTACAATCTAGAAAAAAAAAAGTCTGAGCACAGTAATAATTATACTTGTGTAATTCAGACTCACTGAAAAATGTGCCTCTGATGAAATTGCTATTAGTTTGAAGAATTAGGGATGCTTTTGAAGACAAACACTAGGAAAACTTTTGAGAAATATGGATGACAAAACAGGAACATGTATGTATGACTGAACAGGGACACGAGCTTGTCTCTACTTTTTTCAAGCAAGGCTGTTTTCCAGACAGGGTGTTAATGTTTCCTCCCCCAAAGCAAGAGAGTTTCAATAAATTGTACAAGGCCTTTGCACAGGCCCAGTTGGAAGAACCATGTAAGGAAAAAATGTAGCTAAGAAAAGACTGGCATAATCAGTGCCAGGTCTCATTAAAACAACAAGATGCCTGAAACAATTGAGGAGAGGAAACAAACACACAGAACTTAAGACATCTCCTACTTTTCCTTGGCTGGCAGGAAAGCCTAACAGAAGCAATAAATTAATATTGTACTGTTCTAAGGATCAAGATCCCACTGTGTTTTTGCCCATCTCAAAATCCTAGGGCATAGCACAATTTAATCCATACTCCCAATCAGGCAGGAATGTAGAAAATACCACCTTCTAAAGTACAGTTCCCTTTGGAGCTCTTCCTGGAACTGGCTGTATTGTTCTTCAGTCAGTGCTAGTGCTTGATAAGACAATAAAATCCTTTGTTAAGAACTTCCAAAAATGAAACAGAAATACCAATTAACTGCAATTCTGTCTGGAACTAATTTAATTCAAAGGTGTCTTCTAGTACCATGGGATATGGTGTGTTCTGCTCTGGAGAGAATCAATCGGTGAGAGATTGATGAAGGGGTGGTAAGGTCAGGTTTGCAAATACAGAACCATCTGCAGAGTCTCCTGGGTTGGTACCTGCAGCATAGTAATTTACAGGAGCAGGTGTTTCCTTTTAATCTACTTTTTTTTTCTGCTGAAATTGTAACTTTATTAAAAAGTGCCTGCAGTTTGTTATTAAGAGGGTACTTAGCTCATTTTTGCTATTAACTGACTGCTGAAAGGTTTCGGAAAGTTTTAATGCCCATAATCCTTAAAAATACAGTTAAGAAAAGCGTCTGTGATGTTCAATATGGAAGTCAACCAGACACATCTTTAGAAAGCCACTACATGTAAACAAAAAAAAGCTCAAAAGTCTGTTCTTAAAACAGAATTATATTGCTCAGAAATGAGCCATTTCTTCCCAAATAAGGGTGACTGAAATTATTCTAGTCATGAAGATTCTAATTTATTTTTGTTTACAGCCATAACTAATTATGGAGAAAGAAAGCTTTCCAAAACAGAAAAAAGTTCAAGAATTCCAGCTGGAATTTCCCACCTTGGTAGGATGGGCACTGTGGTTTGGCTCCAAAGCACAGCAAAGGTCAGTAGAGAATATATCTGAATTCAAACTCAGGTTCTTGGCTTTGCTGCACCTCACACCCTGCTCCAGCTTTACTACAACCTCTTATCACATTATCTCTTCTCAGGCCCAGCATCTCGCAGCGTGACTCCCACATCATCCAAAGTGTCTTTGCAAGGTGCTCACATTCCAGCCTCCACACAGACATTACACCTCCTGCTCCTCACACACCTCCTTCAGCTCCTTAAAACCTCTGCCTCTTCATAATCCTACAAATCTTCTGGGGAATTTTCCTTGAGTTTGCCTAATGTATTTTACCCACCTGTAACTCTTACCAGGACAAAAATGATATATCGGAAAGCAGTTTCCTGGTTTGGGTGTATCACCAAAAAAGTCACAGAACGCTGCAATGTGAATAAACCTTGGGCTTAATATGAATCACAGCATTAAAACCCAAGGAATATCCTTCTTTCCCAATCAGTAAGGCAAAACCCAAGTCAAAGTACACATCTCACTGAAGAAACCAATAGAGTTAGAAATGTTTATTTTTTTTCATATTCTGCTTCAGACATTAAATCTAAATGTCTTAGTCTAAAACCAACTCCCTAGGAAAAAAACCCCATACACACTATTGACTATCTGGTCATAGCCTCGGTTTAGTTCTTCCACTTTCCTCTTCTTTGGAAATTCTTATTTATGGTTTGCAGTAAACATCAGGAAATAAAAGGACAGTGACTCAGCAATTGAGAAAAATCCCTTGTTCTGTGTTTTTGTTCAAGTCTCTTTATTAATTTCAAGACAGATTTAATCCTTGGGGGGAAAAAATGGATGTGAGAAAAAAATGTGCTTAACTGGCAGGTTTTTCAGTTTTTAATTGAACTAATTTAATTTTTACCTGACCAAGCATCACCCTTTATTTTAATTTAGGTTTTGGTTTTTTTATTTTACTTCTGGGAAGGTTCACTCTGTTCCCAGCATCTTTCCCTGTCACTCTGATGAATACTGAGACAAAGAAATCTTTCCTTTCCCAGAAAGAACTGCCTCATCTGTTGCTAATTTCCCTTCCCATCCCTCATGGAACACATGGCTACTTTCTATGACCTCTTGCTGTGTGCACATTCATGTAGTCCTTAATCTCCTCTTCTTGCAAAACTTTCCAAATTTAGTAACAACTTTTAATGTATGTTTTCTGTCTATTCTCATCTAAATAATGCAAAAGAAATAGAAAGTATTTTCATCACTCCTTTAAGCAAACCTGTTAAATGGCTTCTTAAATTATTCCCATTTTCTTTACATCCCTTTTAGCTCTACATTCATTTCCATATCAATAAATTTGTATGGTTTCTGTTGCTCACTAAAGTTTCCTGTTTTGCTTCCTTTCTCAAGGCTATGGGCTTTCCTCCCGACCCCTACATGAGCTGTGCCTCTGCAGAGGAACACGCAAAGAAGCAAAATAAGCAAAAGGGCATTTAAATGTTCATGTCTGGGCTGTTGGATCTAGCCACAAATTTACTCCAGCCTTACAGTGTCCTGAAGCTTCTGTTGGGCACTCTCACAATACATAACACTTGAGTGCACAGGAATTTTTGGAATTGTATTTCCCTTCATGTAATTTGCTCTTGGTTCAATACATCTCTATGCCAACAGTCTTAATTAAGAGAGCAGCACAAAACAGTTCTCCAAATCTTCTGCACCATAAACAAATCCTTTGCAAAAAGATGTGAAACAAGTTCTAAATAATATTACTTTAAGTTTGTAACCTATTTTTTATGTTGGAAGACAAAATTTATCACAACTGACTTCCTTTACTGTTAAGTAAACATGTGCAATATATTAAAATAAGTCTTAGTGAATAATCAGGATCACCAGGTCAGCTACACAATATTTCATGAGAATAAAGTTGCTCCTCAGAAAACAAGTGCTGTTTTTCTTTCCACTCTCAGCAGCCTTACTTGTTTTCCATATGCTTGCATGTTTAATTAGCAATCTTTCTGTAAATGTCTGCAATTAGACAATGATGATTAATAAAATAACTCCTTTAAAGATTCATTTAGGCAGCAGAACTGCACAATCAGGTATAATTAATTCATCATTAATAAATCATGGCTGATTAACTAATATGTTGATTACAAACACATTACTGCATAGCCTCCCACCTGAGCTCTGGTGATTTTTCTATCCTGAAAAGAAATAGAGACAAAGTAGTAGTAAACAATTTAAAAAATGCTTTAGGCAGCAAAGATATTCATTTGGTCAGGAAATTTAGCTAACAAGTATCTTTGAAATGTATGGGCCTTGTTCATTATTAGTCCTCTTGAGTAAAAGAAATTATTGTACTACCTATTTGTTAAATGAGGATGGGTGAACAATAACTGGTTATTTAGTTCACTTATACTCCTAAAGAAGGCTTTTTTCCTCTCTGATTATGGGTCAGATTCAGTCTTTGCCCAAGCCAGCAGGAAGAATGAAATGCAGCAGCACTGCTGCTCTAGAAGGTGCACCTCCCCTGCAGCCAGGGAACAATCTGAGCCGTGGGGAGAGGAGGCCAGGGCCAAAGCTGCCAAAGCAGCCCTGCTGCCACCACAGCTACGATCTGCACCTAATCACGAGTCCGTCTTTATAAATCCGACTGCAGCCCCACCAACTTCAGCAAGACTGAATACAGGAGAATGTGCATTTCATTTGGAGACTCCTTTTGCTTGCCACCCACCCCATGAGCTGAGTAGTGCACTTAAATCACATTTTTTGTATGTTCTTTGCAGCTGCAGGAGATAGAACTTTCTATTTAAATTAAGATTCTCACACTCTCACTTGTCCAGCTACTTGGACTTAAGTAAGATGTAACTAACAAGTTCTGATAAAATTAAAAATAAATGGAAAAAAGGGAACTTGGCACAACTAAGTTCCTGATGATTTCTAACGGCATGACATCCAACTGTTCCCATAGTATTAGACTGTCTTCTGAATTCAAAACGTATCACCCTGAAATATCACAAAGAACTAAAGCAAAGCTTAAGAGAGAGGTGACTTGAAAGAGAAAACAGTTTTAGCTACAGTAACTGAAAGTTCCATATTCCTAACAAATCCAGTGAAAGACCACATCATGATGACAAAATCTGGAGCACTACACTTCATGAAGATCATAGAAGAAACTTTCAGTTTAGGAGAAAATTTTCAGGTTTTGAAAAATAATTGACATTGCTGTAACCAATAAAGTTTTCTTTCAGATCTTAATCAGCTTTATGTGCATCACAAGGTCAATCTGCTAAATCTTTCTTCTGAACCTTTAATTAAAGGTATTTACTAAGCAGCAGTGCTATGATCAAAGACAATACCATTCAACTTTGAAAAATACTGTTCATAAAAGAGAACCACAAGGCACATTTATACCCATTTACATTTTTATATATTTTAATTCAAGTAAGTTAATGAACATGGCCAGCATTTCCATATATAGCTGAAAAATATAATTTTTTTAAAAAATTAGTTCAGATTTCATGAAAAATTATCTGTATGGGAAAAGCTTGATTATCAAACAGATGCTTACAGTTTAATCCAGGAAGCAGCAAGGAATTTTAACATGGAGTTTGGAAACAGAGAGAAGAATATTTTAAAAGCAGAAAAACAAGATAGCTGTAGTTGAACATTTTCATTGGTCAGTGTACATAGGAAGTGGCAAGATGGAAGTGAAGAATACCAAGGATCTTGAAGATCAGAAGTGAGTACTTTCAAGCAATTTTTTAAATGGCCAATGAGTAACCAAAGACTTTTGAGAACAGTAGTAATTCACTGCCTAGAGCTGAAATAAAATTAACATAATCAGAGTAACATAAAACTTAGTCATTAGTGATTAGTGAGAGAAGAGGGAGATTAGTGCCATTTCTTTCAGAAAGTCAGGTTTCCTTTTAGTACAATAGCAGTTTGCCCTGCAATGTCAATTCTTCCATCACTGCGCACAGAAATCTTCAACTCTCCTCCACGGCGGGAACATTGAAAAGCTAAACAGAAACAAGAACCCAGAGTCAAAAAACTAGTGTGTATCACAATTTATTAAGAAATCCATAAAAACTTAGGGAAAGGAGGCTTCTGGCTCCAGAAAGCAAGCAGCACCAGGGCAAACAGTGCACAGGGACACCCTGGATGAATTGCCTTTAGAGATGAAGGTCAGCCGAGGGTGTATTTCCAACTAGACCTTGCCTATTGAGTCTGATACAACTGCTACTTAATACAAGGGAGAGGTAGTTTGCTTTGTTGTAGCAAATTAAGTTTCTTCCATGTATCTAAGAAGTCTTGAATTCTCCCTTCATGGGACAGTTTTTGGAGTGAAGAAGGAAGAACACCAAGAGTTACCTGCATAAGAATGAATAACCGTTTTACTGGTACTGAACACCAAAAGTTGATACTGCATTCAAAGAATGTGCCTGGCTAAATGGTAATAAACTCACAAAGGCAGTGGGAAAAGTCTACAAAGAAACATAGATGCTGCTTAAGCTGTCAGAAATTGACACCAAATTCTTACACAGGATGCAACAGATATTATTTATAGAATATTGAAGATATAATTTAATACACCTGGATAAACCTGAAATAGAAACAGACTTCTGCTTGTAATTCTTTAGAGAACCAAGCTTTTGCCTGAACTGTTGAGCTGTACACAGTTGGGATGATGTTCACCTAGCATGTGGAGTCTCTAACTCATTTGAGCAGTCTCATTTTAGTTGCATGACTTGACAAGAAAATGGTCTCATTCAGATGGCATTTAGAAAAGGTTTGGGTTTCAAGCAGTCTTGCTTTTGTGAAAGGCTCTAAATGGATGAAGAGGCAATAATGTTCAGTCTCCTTAGTCAACGAACTTCCTAACTGCTCCAGAAGTTGTCCAAAGCTAAAGGGCACATTTTTCCTCTCAAACACACAATTTATAAATTGGGTAGAGATTGTATTCAGATCCCAGCAGAGCACAGGCTCTCTGATGGCATATATGCTGTATGCTCTAAAACTATTTCTCAGGCACTGCTGCTAAGAAAGCTCTTCTTTGATCAGACTGGATTCTCAGACAAAGCAAACACTCTGAAAGAGTGGAAACAGGAGCTATTTAGAGATTGACATTGATACTTTCTGTTCTTTTCCATTTATAGAACCATGGGTTGTTTTTAACTTGTCAGAACATCACTTATGAATGGAGTAATGCTTTAACTGAGTATTTTAGACTCCTAAAAGACTCAGGCCAGCTAAAATTGATCAATTATTATTGCCAGATATGGAGACACACCTAAGCTCTTCCACTCCCACATGATAGCAGATTGAAATAAAAGAGATTAATTATTTCAACTTTTCAAAGGTTGGTTTGGTTTAGTTTTTTCTTCTTTAAATGTCCAAACTCTAGCTCCTTCATGTCAGGATTACTAAGATTGTTTTGATATTGGTTCATTTTATTTTACTTTTAAAGAAACTTCCAAAGTAGAAGAAAAACAAAAAATAATTCACAAAAGAAATTTTTAGACAAGCTTATATGAAAATAATACTCGATCTATTCCTTCTCTTACACAAAAGTACTGATATGCTATGTCCAAAAGTAAACAGGCTTGCATGGAACATTTAAATACCTAGAGGATTTAATTTAACAGCCTCTGGAGGCATTCGGGCATCTCTGAAGCACACTCACCTTTTAGATCATAAAATTGTTGCACGCCTATTCCATGCCTGTATTCACCAGGAATACCTCCTCCTATACATGGATTTTATACGTATTTTCTATTAAAACAATGTACAACTGTACAAACAACATCTAACAGCTGACCTCACAGTGGTTAAGCTGACACACAGGAAAGTTTGGGAGCAGCCACAAGACCAGGGAGGTTGAGTAAGCTGCTATCACAGTATCACACCCCTGCATTCACACATAAGCTGGTGCCCTTGTACAAACATTATCCTGTTGTTCTGGAGCTTCTTACCAGCCTCAGTGACCCCTGCTTAACGAATTTAAGGACTAATGTTTTTTCTTCATAATGTCATCAAAATGACATCAACTCAGGAACAAGTGACACTCTTGTAAAAATATCTATTTTAAGACACCACTAGTATTTTGTTTGAATTTCTAAATCCTATAGTGGAATGCATTTGTTCCTTAACCCAAGTGAAGATCTCTAAGACTTTTTTTTTATCGTAAGAAAAAAGGTGGACATATCTGGTGATTGATGGAAGGAAACACCTCTCCTCTGAAGAAATGTTACACTTGTGCACAAATCTGATGTTGTCAATCTATGTGTTGGGATTACTTGGAAAAGATGAAAACTGCAATGAAAACTCTTGACTTCATGAGAATTCAAATTAGCAAAAACTTAAATACAGTTAGATTCATTGTACCTTAACAAAGTTTCTTCTGTCTTTTTATGTGTTTTGTTGTTGTTGGTAATGTTGATGGTAATTTTGTATCGTTTCTGCCCCCAAAAAAACAACCCTTAAATGCTATAAACCTGTTCCGTACTGGAATCAGAGAAGTTAAAGGCAGTAACAAGAAACAAATTTTCACACAAATAAATACAGTTGTCCCAAGCAAACTGGTATAGCAAGACTCCCCTAGCTTAAACCGAGATAAAAACTATCCTGGATAAGCCCTTTCTCATCACAATCATTAGGGAAGTCCTCTCTAATTTGTTTGGTTGTATGGAATTCCTTATGCATGTTTATAAATGTCACCTTAGAAATATGACAACAGTGTGAAGTGCTGGATGCCCAGACAGTTGTTCTACACTGCATTCACTAGAAACTGTGAAAGTCTATACATCTGAGAGATCATAATTTGTACACATTGCAGAGACTCCTCAAATGAAAGAAAGGCAAGGACTGATACAAAAACCCTGATTTGAACAAGCAGCTTAACATCAAGGACATGGACCCAGCTTCAAGAAAAGACCATGAAATATTTCACCTTGTGAAAGGACTGGAAAATTCTCTTTGTAGTTGGTGGGTAGGAAGAGAACCCAAACACAGGAAATTAAGTCTGATGCTTCAGCAGAGCTGCAGATGACCTCCTCCTAAAGGCCTCAGTAGCCAGAGAGATCTGACAATAGATTTCATGTTCCACATTTTTATATTGTTTTATATGTAATCTATTTGGGAATGAACAGATCCTTCATTCTATGGAAGAAATTCTTCCCTTATTCTTGTATTAAAAAAGCATCGGATATTACAGAAGACACCCCAGAGATTTCTAAAAAGTCCAAAGATGTTCTTATTTAGTACTACTTGCTGATATGGAATGTCCTTGAATGACAGCTATCTTTTCCAAATAATCTCATTAGTAGTAGAATTTGCCCAGTACTACACAATACCTCTTAAACAGACATATGTAAGAAAAAGTTATTTTCTCATAAACATACATCAAATTAACTTGTCCTATTTAAAACAGTTTTGTATGACTTCTACCACAGAAGAAGATTGAGGACATATATGGCATAGAATATGAATTAAAAAGAAAAAAAACAAAACAAAACAAAACAAAACAAAAAAAAAACCACAAACCTTTCTTGTGGACAGATAGGACTTTTTTTTGTGCTAAACACATTCAGAGAAGCTGATTACAGTATCAATTGCCCTAGCTGCTTGAGCTAGTTTATCTAAAAGCAGAATAGGGACAGTACATACAAAATACATGAAAATGCAAAACAGATAGAAAGTGTCAATTGTAAGTACAGACAGAATTCCAGTCTATTTGAGTACTTAAAGAAGCAGTGTCTACAGATGGTATGCAGAGTTTAAGTTCCACATTAACATCTAAAAATATCAAAATCTTCTGAGAAACAGTCAGTCCATAATGACATATTACCAAAGACAGTTTTCATCTTCAGAAAATATGTTGAGATTCCCCCCCACCCCCACCAGCATTATTTAACCTATCAAAGATATTGTGTGGTGTAAATGCAAATACAAGATCTTCAGGACAGAATGTTAAATCTTTTCTTTGGTCCATGATGGAGAAGGTCCTGTTCATAGTGGATCCTTTAAAGACTTACCATCCTGAAGAAAACCCATTCTGAGATTCATTTGACACGATACAGAAAGGCTTATAAGCAGGCTAGCTGTTTGTTTGGAAAAGTGTTTACTTTTATGGACAAAGAACCTTATTAGATCAAGTATCCAACCTCTGTTCTAAACTAAATGTGACCAAAGGCGTGTATGCATAACTGCCCCCTGTCGCCTCTTGGAGAACCAGGTAGGGGATGAGGGTATTTTACATTGCTTCTCTTGTTCTTCTGTTCCCTGGCAAAGCACTAGAAACAGGAGAAGCAAGGAGCCACCCAGCACCTCCTCATATAGCATTGTCATAGATTAGTTTCTCTTGGCTTTTTCCACCATGTTCTTAAGTTTCTTGCTGAATAACAAAAATGTGATCTAATAAGCATATCTCATTGATTGAATCAAAACACTCTAACATCCCCTGAGGTACCCCAAGCTTCAGTTATGAAAGGCCATGAGAACTAAAATCCAAAAGCCAAGATCAAAAACTGACAGCAGAGAGTTATGATCCAGAAACGAACACTTCAAACTCCCTGGGGCATGATGTGTCATGGTGGCAGATAAGAAAGAAAGCAATTTCTCAAAGATTACCTCACACACAAAATATTACATAATATTCTATTCATCCTGAGGAAATGGATAAGGAGCTATTGCTACAGTTTGGATTACAGTAGTAATACAACTTTTTCTGTTCTAGTGAGTAGCTCTACATAAATGACAGCTTTGCAATTAAACAATTTCCTTACCAAGCATTTCTTTCTTCCCCAGCTGCTCTGACCAGTAGCTGCTTAAAACAGCATGAGCAGATCCTTAAAAGGAATAGAAAAACAAAGCACTGAATTAAATTATAATCACTACTTTACAGAAAAAGCATAGTCAAAATGTAAATATAATAAATCAAGTGCCATGCGTGTTTAGGGTAAAAAACCCTAAGAGTTTGAACAGCAGACAGAACTTAAGGCTTTATAATTTCAATTTTTATGGTAAAGCAGTATTACTTCCACATCCTCTAGCTTCAAAGGAAATCTTGCTAGGTGAGGGCATCATCACTAGCTACAATACTCAGCTGACTAATAATGAAATTGTACCTAAGCAAAGAACACCATCCTGCAGCAATCATCAACACAGAGTGCAACACAGAAGAACAGGCAGGAACATGCCTTGCTGCCCTAAGCATGCAGCTAGCTGAGCTCTCACAGGCCTGAGAACAGCAGCAGTGTCATGAAACTAGGGAAGATCTCAGCTGAAATGCATTGGAAAAGAACCCAAACAAAAATCCAAAGCACAATAAAAAAAAAGAACACCAACAGAAGAGGATATAAATTTCCACTGCAATACTCATCCAGTACTGAACTAGTCTCTCACTTTCATCTAATTGTAATACTTGAGGGAAATTATCTGAAAAAGACACAAGAATATCTGGTCTAAAAACAGTAAGAAGTTGATTTGATTTTTTTCTGAATGAGTTGGCCTCGGTAATAAAAGTTTTTTGTTTAATGAGAACTCTTGCTATCCATATAAACCAGTATTATAAGAGACTCCAAAGTACAATTGCAATGAAAGCCTTTTAATTGAACTGAAACAAAAGTACAAGCCGTTTATCATACAAACACATACCTGTAACAGGGTCTTCCAGAATTCCATACCAAGGTGAAAAATATCTGGAGTAAAAATCATGGCCCTTTCCACTGGAATTTCCCTTAACAGTGAGTATGAGTCCTTTCACTTTTCCTGTCTTTTCAGCTGATAAAAAGTGTTGTGCACTCACTTTCAAGTTTTCCAACACAGACCTTGAATATAATTATGAAATTTTAATAGACCATATTCTTCATTTTACATGAATGTAAGTACTGAAAAGAAAAAATAAATAATCATCTTCTCTACAATTCAAAACAAGCTCTAAAATATTAGAGGAGACAAGACCCCTAGCATTGTCCTCACAATGGTATTTGACAGAAAAATCACCTTGAATCTCATGCACTGTGAATGAGCAGAGAAAAAACATCAAACCATGCATTTCCTATTTATCTCTGAAAACAAAGCATCCTGAAATATTAGCCACAAAAAAAAAAAAAAAAAAAAATCACAGCTTGTTTCAATATTTTCATCATTGAAAGAAATATTGCCTCACTACAGAATGTACCAAGTGCTCCACCTCCTTTCAGAGCAGGCAAATAACGAACACCATTCGAGTCTGCATGGCATCCTAAAGTGGTCTACAACTGGCTGATACTTCCCTACAAAACAGTCTGAAAGAGTGAAATACTAAGTACTCAGCCAAGAATACTTCTTTTTCCCCATTACCCCAGACTTTAACCATTAGTTAGGCCAAACTTCAAGTTTGTAATAATAGTAATTTGGCCTGATTAAAGAAGTTATGTTTCAGCAGTATATACCTAAACCATATACTTGGATTAACAATGAAATTCAGATGAGATTAACAAATGCTTTGGAACAATTTGATCTGGAATCTTCTCTCTAAAGCTACTTATGGTGCTGTTAAGCATGTGTAAGCAGATTACAGTCCAATGGAAGTAAGAATCCCTGGCATACTGTCAGTGTGCCCTGAACTGAAGCAGGACTCCCAGCTTCCTGCCACACTACTGGATCATCTTTAGACTCAGATGGACAGGAAAAATACACCATCATTAAAACTGTTTCCTACACCTCCATCTCTTGAAGACAGATTTTAGAATGATCTTACTCAGCTTTGCAGCTTCAGTAAGCTCATATTAAAAGATAACTACTTTACACAGAAATTTAAATCAGAGGTTTTTATCTCAACCTGATTTAAAACTAGATAAAAGAGCCTAGTATTTAAGGAATAAACAGGCCAACTCAATGTCTGCATTCTTGATTAAAACAATTAAAAGAGTGTAATATACCTTTCATAAGTATCACTGAGGCGGACTAAGAGTTTCCTTGTGTCAGGAGAATAACGCACATCTTGAACAATCATGTCACCAACAGCTGCCTGGGGGGAAATGCAGAGACAGAAAAAACCCCATCATCACTTGAATATAAAATATTATTTCCTTAGCATTTCTGTAGAGCACATTCCCTGCTAGAAGAGGGCGTATGCAAGATGTTCCACGCAACCCTCAAGTAAATTCAAGAAAAGCAAATGCACCAAGTGCATGAATGGATATGGGTGAGTTACAAGCCCCATGTACGTCTATTTGGGAAGAAATCCAGGACCTCAAGGAGGGCAAGGACACAGACTGCCCTCTTATGCACACAAAAGGCTGAAAATGCCATTAGAATAAATATTGACACTTTGGTCAATGGAAATGGGAGACACAGATTCAGCTGCAGTACTCTGGAGAATTCCACTCCCTGACCTACTGAGTTAATACTGAGAGCTTTGAAGTTTGGTGTTTCAAATTCAGGAACACATTTGAGCAGTGCCTTGTCACCATTTTTTAGCCATTTTAATACATAAAAATAAGCAAAGCTAGTACAAATGTTTTTCTAAGACAACTGATGGATTCTTCTTTTACCTTTATTAATTCTTCTACTTCCTTAAGTTCCTGAAGGAAAAAAAAAAAATAGATGCACTGTAAAAACTGTAATATATATGTAGGCATCAATGCAACTACAGACAGACACATATACTGACATACACATACAAATACATACTTTCCTTGAAAGCCTATCATGAATTTGGACTAACCTGGGGGTAGGCTGTGTAAAGTGGCAAGTCCAGGACAATATGATCTTTCACGTGTCTGGCCTTTAATTCCCCACTCAGCGTCACAAATGTGAGAACTGAATTTGTATTTTCTAGAGAGAGAATGTTGCAACATTATCAAACATTAGAATTTTAACCTAAGTTATCACAGCCCTAGAGTAGCTCAGTATATTCAGAAACAGTTAGTTATACAGCTCAAATATATCCAGAGCAGCACTGTATTCTGGGCAAAATGCCCAACTAAATAAATCCGTTGAGGCTAATAAGCACAACAATTGTCAGGGAATCATTCCTGCGTTTGCCTAGAATGAATGGGAATGTCCTTTTAACAGAAAGAGCAATATTCCCTATTCATCAAATCCTACTGTACCTCTCCCAGATGACATTTGCTTATTTAGCACTTTCGTTACACAAAAGTAATAGCAGGGCATTGGAATCAGAGGGTAGGCATCAGACTACAGCCTTGTAACTACAGAGCAGTAGTGAAAGATACCCAGGGTATCTTCATTTGGGTTCTACAGATGTTCTGAATGTTTTAAAGCCTTTATCTTAAAAAATAGAGATGTTAATTAGAAGTAAATGTTCTAAAAAAAATATAGTAATGCATAGTTGTAAACCTACTTTGTACATGAAATAACACAGCAGCTGATGCAAGAGTAGCATGACCACAGAGAGGAACTTCGTTGGCCGGGGTGAACCATCTGAGCCCAAAGCAGGAACCTTGAAAAAATAAAATCTATTTAGTGCTATTAAGTGGAAGAAGTCTGTATCTTCATTTCATCTCGATATATATAGAGTGATGATGTTTCAGTTAATCAAAATGCATGTTGCAATCAATTTTGGTCTTAAACACACTTCTAGTACCCATTTTGCACTGATTTTTCAGAATAGCTATCCCTTTTGAATTAAGTTAACAACTTTTGCATGCTGCACAGATTTTTCTTCACCCTTAACAGGTCTTATTTAGAAGATAAAGGCCCTGTGTCCATGTGTATTATGAAATCCTGCAGAGGCATAGTCATGATCTGTATCAGCTGCAGGCCAGGTTACCATCTAGAGGCCATAGATGGTTTTGTTGGTATAACAGAACCTGTACTGAAGTTAGCTCAGTTATGAATTATTTTGCTTAAAACACTGGTAAAAGCCTCTAATGTCTACTAATCCTTCATTTCACTAGAAATCATATTTCTATTTGCTATTTAAAAAATTTGGAACACACACGCACGATACTTGGTTTCCTGTAACTTTTGTAAATGCATTTAAAGTGAATAATTACCATACAAACACAACAGATGATGTGAACAGAAGATGTGAAAAAACAAAATAGGTTTTTTTAAATCCACACCAGTCTTGTCATTACTACTATGGGAAGTTTGTGCATTAAAGTCAGTCCCCTCTAACAAAACAAACAGAACCCAAATAAAACCCTGTGGTGGAACCTAATGGCCCCAGGAGTGAAGTGCTGTGAGGGCTGGCCAGCCCCAGCCATGAGCCTGCAACAGCTCCTGGACACTCCAGACATACAGCTGCACTTGGACTGAGAGGACATTAAGTACTCCCATAAATTCACATGTCCCTAAAATAACAGAGTTGATTGGTTTGGTTTTTTCTTTGATTAACATTAAATGAAATGTACTGATCATGAAGGCCTGCAGAAACATACGCTGCGTCCAGGAGCCATCACTAGACCGATCAGTTTTCCAGAAGCAGATGATAAATGACATTCTGATGTTCCTGGTTCACTCCACTGCCCCTGAGCACAGTCTCGGGTGTAGCTGAGTGACCAAATTCCTTTGAAAGAACTGTGCATCCCTTGGGTAGCTGTGTGGGTCTGAGACCACAAAGTAGCCCATTAGTACCAAAAGCATTATAATGATACAGAAGCTGGCATTTTCTATGCTGCTAAATATGGATGACTTGAAAATAAGTCTGTTAAACATACTGGCGAAGTGCTAACATGAAAAATGAAAAGTATTGTAACTTCTTGCTCCAAGCAATTAAAATAAATTCTAATTTATTAACAGGAGCAAGCAATTATAGTTACTACTACTAGTACTACTATAGTTACTACTACTACTACTATCCTTAATATTTTCAATTACAAAGACTGTACAAAATCCTACTCCCTGAACAATCCATGAAAAAACAAAATGATAAACATGAGTCCTTAACCTAGAATCTAAGTCCAGACTAGTGGACTAGTGGAGCCCCTTGGCCTGCACCACCACACAAGTGAGCACATTCAGCAAACTGATTCAGCTGAAAATTAATCCAGAGCAAGTCTGAATGCATTCTGCATTTGTCTGATGTTTTCTTGTCAGCAGAATCACTAACTTTTGCTAAAGTCATCTCCAGGTTTCAGTTTTCTGATGAAAGCTGTTTCTGAAAGGTTCATTTCTGTTGCAATTTTTTGGAGCAAATCTTCATCCAGGTCCTAGGGATGACATAACAAATCCAGTCAAGAGCAGGCAAAAAAAAATGCAGAATCAAACTTTCTGTCAAATACAGTAATTTAATTTTCTATTATAATAAAACATAGGTTCAGTTTTAATTCAAAATAATCTCTGCGAGTAAAAAAACTTTAAGTGAGACAATACACTCCCTCAGTAGGAACTGAGAAGAGACAAACTAGAAAAAAAATATAACTAGTGGATCACACTAAGCCCCTGTGATTTAAGCCAGTGGACATTGATCCCAAGATACCCAAGCCCAGGGATTGTATAACATTCTCCTTGGCCCATGTCCCACTGCTCTTTCCCCACGGTTATGCTGACTGGCCAGTTTTGAGAATCTGATCTTTCAAATGCTGAAACTCAGCTGAAACAAAGTACTAAAGGAACCTGGTCAGGTCCAGTCTGAGAGATAAAAACCCTTTCAACTTGAATGACTTCAGTAACGAACCCTTTTCAGCCAATAATCCCATACTACAGCTACAAACCAATACCTGATTAGTACAAGAGCTGTAATTGCAGACTGAATTCTGCACAGTTAAACAACATTCTAACATTTTACATGACAGCTACATTCCCTTTATCTCAGGAAGAGTTCTGTCAGTTACTGTAAAGATCCTAGACCAGAACAAAGACCAGTAAAAATGTTATTAAAATAACCTTTTTTTTAATAACATGGAACCTTATTGAAATACTGCCATCCTGTGGCACCTCTGAAACGCAGAAAGGACTGGCTTTGCCATTCCTGCATTTGTCCTGATTTTTTCTGTAAAGCATCTGCTGAGACTCTGGAGGGAGCAGAGAATAGGTGTTTTGCATAGATGCATCACACTTTCTTCAGCCTTAGAATAAAATGCTGAATTAGGATCTCGATTTTAGCTGTCACACTAAAGGCTTTACTTCCAGGAACTGTAGAAAAATTTAAACATCTGCAGCCCAAAATCATCATGCAAGTAAGATGGCTTCACAATATCTTGATGCAATAAAGTAAAACTAACATTAAAAATGAAATTAGAAGCTCATAATTTTAATGCAGAGATCATTTTGAGAGTATTTAGATTTTTATGGAGCCAAAAATATGTCTGAAGAGAGAGGTTCCCAGTCATACCTTTGTCTGACCTGGTAAGTAGGCAAAGTTATATGAGATTTAGACAGACTTAGGAACCTCTGGAAAGGATTCACACTGGCATTACAAGCTGTTGCCATTGGCTACTCTAGATAAATTTTCATATTTACAATTTTTATCAGGAGTTACTACACAAACAGTACAAGGCCTGTAAGTTTCTAATCCATCTTAATAATTCCTTTTGTTAGGAATCGGTACCAATTAGTACCAACTGTTCACAACACCCTGATGAGGATAACTAGTGTCAACTGCACCAAAACTACCATGCAACACTGAAGCAATAAAAGCTGTTTAAACTTGCCTAAAGCTGAACCCAACACACTAATGGTGAAAGACTCACATCCAGGTCTATACCCACTCTTTGTCTTTCCAGGGAAACAGGAAAAATTAAAAAAAAAAAAAAAAAAAAGGGAGAAAAACCACACCAAAACCAAACCCATTTCTACTGAGTACTGGTTCTGTTTTACAGCATTACTTTTCAGATTTCACTCTGAATACCTCTTAATTCTTCAGAATTTTTATTCTGAATTATTCTTGAAGAAATGAATTTCTTCTAACTCAATATAAATCCAGTCTATTCCTTAACAAAATATTTTTAACAGACCACAAAAAATTCAAACGTTGTCTTGTATGACATCGTTTTGACAAAAAAAAAAAAAAAAAAAAAGCACCCCTGTGCTAATTTCTCTGTATTCTTGTGCCACAGCAAACAAGTCTGGAAAACAGATGTCTCGAGTAAAGAAAGCAAAGTCTAATGGAGTGCTGAGTGCTCAGGCCAAGTACAGAATGACAAATGTCTTTGCAGTACCTCAAAACATAGTTGAGGTTTTTTTTTTTAACTTACATTTTCAAGCAGACAAACTGCCGCAGGATTTCCAGAAAAGGGTCGGTTTGTAAATGCATCAACCGTAATAACTGGAATCTGCATTGTCGTGTGCACCTGTTTAGCTGCAGGCTGTGCCCTGCCAGGTACTCTCCCATCGGTTTTACCCAACCCGCAGCACAACTCCAAGTTAATGCTTTCCGGACGGCAGGCGGAGCCAGCGGCCCCATCCGTCACTTCCTAGCGCCGACACGGATCCAGACTCCTTTCTAGCCCCTGGCGTTGCGCAGTGATTTTTTTTTTTTTTTTAATTAAAACACACATTTTAACCTCCCTCGCCAGCAGCCCCTGAACGCCTCAGCGCGCTCTTTCACCACAGCGCCCGGCCCGCTGTGCCGCGCACTGAGGGAGGCGGGATCCTGCTGAGGAGTGGCGGCAGCCATCACACGCGACCACACCGGGAAACCTTCCTCATTCTCACTGTCTCCCAAAGCTGCGCGGAGGCAGAGGGACACGCTGAGCGGGACACACGCTCCAGAGGGCGGCCGGGTGCGGGTGCCTGTGCCGCCGGTGCCGGTGCCGCTTCAGCGCGGCCGTGAGGCGCTGCCGCCATGGCGCCAGGCCGGGCACGCGCGCGCCCCACCCCCGCGCGAGCCGCGCTCGCTCCCCTTGGCGCCAAAACGAGCGGCGGCGGCCGCGCGGCCGAGGCGGAGCGCGCACGCGCGCGGGCGGCCCCTCAGCAGAGGAGGCGGCGAAAGGCCGAGGCGGGACGCCCCTCCCCTACCGCGCATGCGCCATCGCTCCCTTCCACCGCTCCCCCCCCGCTTTTCCCCCCGAGTCGCGCGTGCGCGGGAGCCGCCCAGGCGGGTGTGAGGCGGCGCGCGGCGCGGGTATCGCGATAGTCGCGCGGCCCGGACGCTCCGCTGCCCGTGGGCGCTGCGCGGTGTGGGTCCGCCGGACGGCTCGGCAGTGAGCGAGGAGACGCGTCCTGCCCGGTGCGAGCGGCTGCCGGGGTACGGCCGGGTGCGCGAGACGCGCGCGGTGAGCGGAGAGGGGCGCGGGCCGGGCGAGCGGCGGCGGGGCCGGCGGGGCGGTGCGGCGGGCGGGCGGTGCCGCGGCGCGGGGTTCGGCGGGCTCGGGGCCCGGCCGGTGCCGGGTCAGGCCCGGCGCGCGCCCGCGGGCGGGGGAGGGGAGGCGGCGCGGAGCCTCGTTCTGATCGCGGCCGCCATTTTGAGCGGTGGAGCCGAGGGCGGCGGCGGCCCCGGGAGAGCGGCGGGAGGGAGTCCTGCGGCGCTGAGGGGGCACGGCACGGGCGGCGCGGCGCAGCACCGCACCTCCGGGGCTGGAGGTGCGCAGCGGGACGCGGCGAGGGGTGCGGGGGGAGCAGGGCAGGCGGGCGCCTCGGGGAGGCGCGGTAAATGGCGGCGGGGAGCGGGCGGGGGTCAGGGCCGCGGTCTCGGCAGGGCGGCGGGAGGCGGGATCGCGGTGGCTCCGCGCCTGGCGGGGCGGCGGTGGCGGCTCCCTTTGTGGGACGGTGGCGGTGCCCCCTGCGCACGCCCCACGCACACGCACACGCCCCCGCCGCCCCCGGCTGAGGGCAGACAAAGGAAGGCCTTGTGGCTCCGGCCCCTTCCTCAACCGCTACGCTTCAAGGGGAAAAAACAACCGAAAAAAACAGAACCCACAAAGCTTTACGGAGCGGATGTGAAACGTACTCGGAATGAATGCCAGGCTTTATGTGCCGGGCCTGCCCACGTGTTGCCCGCCGGCCACGCGGTGCTCCCCACAGCAGGGCCGGGGGTGAATCCCTCGGTGGCATAGATTGAGGTGCCCAGTTTCAAATCCGGAACAGAAATAAAGCTCATGATCCATTATGTTATCTAAATACAGTGTTAATAGATTTCTTTTTAAGGGCGGGACTTAGGCAAACTCAGGGGTTTTTTTATTTGCGTTTTGTTGGTTTGTTTTTTAGGATTTAAATTAAATAAAAGATGGACTGGAGTGGAAAACACAATGGGCCCAATGATACAACCAATGACGGAACAGTGGTACGACTCCGAGGCCTGCCATTTGGCTGCAGTAAAGAAGAGATTGTTCAGTTTTTCCAAGGTACCTCCAGTATAGTCGAAGTGTAGTGGGTTTCTTTAGAGTTTCTTTGTATCTTTTACACAATGTTAATGTTTTGTACATGTTTAATAGTTGTTAATGGGGTGGATGGGGAGGGATTGTGTAAAATTAGTTTATCTTAATTAAGATTTATGCCCTGTAAATGAAGCATAGATAACTGTAGATATAGTAGAACACAAAATGTACCAGATTTTGTCGAGGTGGGAAACATACCTTGCATATTGGGGTAACCTGAATGTTAGTATTTGGATCAGTTAAATTGCTTGATTGGTAGCTATATTTCCTTTGTGTAACTGAGGTGGTTGCATTTTTGTATAGTCTAAACAGAAAAGTATGGCTAAATCCATAAATGTTTAATGAAAGATCGTGGGCTTGTATTGTTGGGTGATGGGGGAAACAAGGTGGTTTTATTTTTCTTTGTTGTTGTTTAGATATGCTTTAAGTATTTGCTACAGATGGGAATGTTTCAGCCTTTAACACTGTTCCCCTTGATGGGGTTATTTGTCCTTGGGTTAAAGGGTTGGAAATCGTGCCAAATGGGATAACATTGACGCTGGACTACCAGGGGAGAAGCACAGGGGAGGCCTTCGTGCAGTTTGCTTCAAAGGAGATAGCAGAAAATGCTCTGGGGAAACACAAGGAAAGAATAGGGCACAGGTGGGGATGGAGAGTTTGGGATGGTGTTAAATCTTTATTTTTTGGGGGTTGTGGGTCAGTAATGCTTTTGGGGGGTTGGGGACCATTGGGGAATTGGCTGTTTTTAAGCATTTTTTTAACTGATCCTAAGTTAACTTGGGAAATACAGTAGATTTGGGGGGTGGGGGAGACAGTATTGCATTGGGTAGTTTGCTAAACTCAGAAAATTGTTTCAATCATGCTTGTGCAGGGTAATTTGTGATAAATGCTGCTATAGCCAGACATTGTTTTTCAACAGTATGTTTCTCATACTGGAAAGACATGTTTTAAGCTTAATTTGTACAGCTAGAATTTTCACATAATAATTTTTGCCACTCTAAAGTGGGTTTTTTTTTAATACACTTAAGATTCTTACAGTTTTGAGGAGAAGCTTAAGTTGTATGGTATTTCTAGTCACTGCTATTGGCTTGTACATTTAGCTCTAGAAAATGTAGTATGGCCTTTTGTAAAATTCAGATTGCTTCTGCCTGTGTTCTTACTAGTACCTTGAAAATCCTCTTTTATTAGATACATTGAAATCTTCAAAAGTAGTAAGAGCGAAATCAGAGGATTCTCTGACATGCCGAGAAGAATGATGGGACAACAGCGACCTGGACCATATGATAGACCATTAGGAGGAAGAGGGGGTTATTATGGAGCTGGGCGTGGAAGTATGTATGACAGAATGCGTCGAGGAGGTGGTGGATATGACGGTGGTATGTTCATCTAATGAACACAGGTTCTCTTGGCAGTTTCATGTTTCTGACATACTTGTCAAGAAATAAGAAATGGCAATAGCTGTAATGCCCATTAGGCTGGATGTATTTATGTGAAAAAAACTTTAAATAACAAAACTTGTGGCTGAGTATTTGAGATGAACGTTAACAATAAGGGAGCTATTTTCATTAGAATCAGATCTTTCCATTTGCATGTTTCAGTCTGTGTTATATAAAAAGAAATGTACTTTTGCACCATGTTCAAAAATCCAGGTTTGACAGTCTACAGAGACTGTTTGCAAAGTGCTGGGTGCCCAAAGACTGCAGAATTGAGTGTTGCGTGTGCATTGCTCTGTGAATGCTGAGCAGTAACGTAATCACTCCTTTCCTTCTCTCCACTGCACAGGATATGGTGGCTTTGATGATTATGGTGGCTATAATAACTATGGCTATGGAAACGACGGCTATGACGACAGAATGAGGGATGGGAGAGGTAAAAGAAGTTAATAGCTTGTCTAAAAAGGTTTTCCTGTTAAACTTGAGTTGCAAGACACAGTATTTCCAAGACAGAGAGAATAGCTTCATTGTGCTATTTGGTAAAGAAGGCTGTTTAAAAAGGGGAGGGGATTGGGTAATCATAAGGTAAACAGATTGCTTAGCAGGGCTTCTGGTTAAGTTTTGGGTTGATACATGGGAAGTGCAAACTCCATGCATTCACTGGTATAATTTAGGGCTTTCAGAAAAAGAATAGTGATGACTTTTGGCTTTTCATGATCTTAGAGGTGTGTGGGTTTTTTTGGTTTGGGTTTTCCAATAGGCATGGGAGGACATGGCTATGGAGCTGGAGATGCAGGGTCGGGGTTCCACGGTGGCGGTCATTTTGTTCACATGAGAGGGCTGCCTTTCCGAGCCACGGAAAACGATATTGCTAACGTAAGTACCACGGGAAAGGGCTTCCTCATGCCAGCAGTGTGTGTCCCTATCCCTCCCAGCCCAAACTCGGGGAGCCTCCTCAAACAAGTCACTGCTACATCTGCACAAAGTTAACGAGCTTGTATAAAGCTGCTGGCTGAGGTGGGATTACCAGAGAAGTCAGCAAAGCTATATTTAACATTAATCCCTGCACTCTGCTCTTTCGTTTCTATAAGAGATGTATTGCAGAAACAACAGTTCCTGCAATCAGTATCCTAATTTTAAGGCCTTTAGGATTTTTTAAGCTTATCTGATTTTGTGAACATGTCAGAAGGTGTGAAACTGAAATTGCTTAGTTTGCATATTTGTTTGTTGTCCTGAGAGTTTATTTCAGGAGGGGCAGGGTGGGCAGGCTGTGTTGGCTTGGAGGGGACTGTATCCCTCTCATAAGAGATCTGGGTGGCAGGTGGAGGTGCATCTGCAGGATCATGGGAATGCATTCTTGTGTCAGTGCAGATGTGTTGTCGGGCAAAAGGCTTAATTAACATACAGGGCCTGGTTTAAGCTTAGCATGTCCTTGGAGAGAGGCTGTCTTGCCAGTGGCACCCATGTATTATATGCAGAGCTCCATTCTTAAGCTTGTGCTTGTTTGCTTTTGTGGGCAGGTTAGTTTACTTAAATGGAGGGGTATTTTCTTGTGCCAGTTTGATTGATTGTTCCATTTAGGGTAAAGACTCAGTGACAAGAAAGGCCAAAAGTCAGGCTTAGATCTGGAGCAGTGAGGAAGAGCAGTGCGATTGACAGGCAGCTTCTCTTTATTCCATGAATGCGTCCTTGCTTGGAGAAAGCTGGAAAAGCAGAGCCAATGAAAACTAATGATTTTCTTGTCCAGGGTGCCATAGCATTTGACTGTGTTGCACAGAGCAGCGTGTGTTTGTATCTTCGCATTCAGAGAAAGCTCCTCATGCTCTGTAGCTGCAGCTCTCCAAGCTGTGTAGTAACAGTGGGTTGCAAGCATAGGTTGACCTGATGTT